AAAAAAAAAAAAAAAAAAAAAAAAAAAAAACTAAAAATAGATACATACACCACACCTGGGTATAATCAAAAGAATTAACATAGCACACAACAGTGATTTACGCATCCCCATATTTGTAGTGCCACAATCTACAGGAGCCAAGCTGAGGAAACAGGCTATTTGTTCACTGATAGGTAAACAGGTAACAGAAATGTGGTCTATACACACACAGAGTATTATTCTACCATAAAGAAGAATGAAATCATGTCATTTGCAGGAAAATCAATGGAACTGGAGACTCTCGTGTTAAGCCAAAAAGCCAATCTCAGAAAGTTAAACAGTACATGTTTTCCCTTATATAAGCAATGCAAAAACAAGTTTTTAAACAATAAATGAGAAATGATAGAAACTGAAAGGCGAACTTTTTAGCGACAGGCTTAGGGATCAGAGGACAAGGGAGTGTACAGCAATGGGGATCAAAATCGAAATGCAGCAAGAAGTCACACTATTCTGTACCACTAATAGGCATCAATTTAAAAAAGAATCACCAATTTGAATTTTTTCAGAGCAGGGCTGTACATTCCAGTTGTCATCATTTATTACAAAGCAAGTGTCTAAAGGAAAATAAAATGAAGCTTCCTTGAATCTGCAGTGCACTGCAAGTGTTTCTCTATTTTTCAACTATATTTCTTGAGATAATTTAAATCTCGAACTTAATCACCATTAATATCAATTAATATTTGAAGTATTTTTTAAAATGTGACAATATAATACTAAACAATGTAGAAGAGTTTTAAGGCTATAAATGGGCTTATTAAAATGTATAAAAGATTTTATCAATAATGCTGGATGAAATGCATTCCACCAGAATCTCTGACTGCAGTGACCTGACAACAAATTAGGAAGGAATATTCTAAGGCAGTGACAGCGGATCTTTTAGAGCTTTCAATGATAACATACAGCCTACTGCTGCAATCGTGCCACAGGTGCCACCACTGGTCTGAGGCAAAACAACAAATGAAAATTGGAAGGCAATTCCTCCTCAGTGCTGCCTATGGAGGTAGCAGCCACCTCCCACTTGGCACCATGGCGGCCCTCAGACCCCTCGTGAAGCCCAAGATCATCAAAAATAGGACCAAGAAGTTCATCTGGCACCGGACAGACTGATACATCAAAATTAAGCGCAACTGGTGGAAACCCAGAGGCATTGATAGCAAGATGCAGAGGAGGTTCAAGGGCCAGATCTTAATGCCGAACATAGGTTACGGAAGTAACGAAAAGACAAAGCACACGCTGCCCTGTGGCTTCCGGAAGATCCTGGTGCACAACGTTAAGGAGGTGGAGGTGCTGCTGATGTGCAACCAGTCTTACTATGCAGAGACTGCTCACAACATCTCCTCTACAAACCACATGGCCATCGTGGAAAGAGCAGCCCAGCTAGCCATCCGAGCCACCAATCCCAACACCAGGCTGTGCAGCAAAGAAAATGAGTAGACGGCCTGTGTGTATGTTTATTTGTGCTTCAGTAAAACCACAAAAAATGCAAAAAAAAAAGGAAGGCAAAGAAGACAGCAGAGCAAATCATCCAACTTTCACCTGGGGGGCCTCTGACCACCAGGATAACCTACATTTTCATGTAGGGCCCAAGGGATGGAAGACTAAAAAGCAAGGGTGGTCAAAGAAGCTTTTCTAGCGAAACTGCAAGCAAGACGAGAAAGACCATTATTGTCACTTCCATTCAAAAAGGTCCTGGACAACAAGTTAGCAGAAAAGGTGAAAGATTGGAAAGGAAGAAACAAACTAAATAAGACTTTGTACTCAAAATATCCAAAGAATCCAGAGATAAATCATATTAAAACAGAATTAGCCAGACAGCTTCACAGGACCCTGTGGCAAATGTAAGAAGGGCTCAGGATCCAGGCTTAGCTGTTGAGCCAATGCCTAGCAATGTGAGTCCCTGGGCTCACCCACCAGCACACACACACACAGGGTAAAGAGAAGCCACACTGAGATGTCAATTATCTACCCACCACACTGGCAAAACTCTCACACAGGAACTCTTACACGGTGATGCCTGCCAAGAAAGGATTAACTTTCTGGAAAACAACTTAGCATTCAGCCACTATAGACAAATGCACACACACTATGAGGCAGCAGCTTTACTCCTTCTGTAAATCCACCAGAAAAGAGTACACATATCAAAAGACACGAATACAACTGCTCATAGCACCAGAGTTTCTTTAACTTATCAACGTCAATTCCTTTAAAAATTTAAATAATTATAATCAGAAACACTTTCCCTTGAATTGAGTGGACTAGAATTTTTGGGGTTTGTTTTTTTGTTTGTTTTTGTTTTTTTGTTTTTTTTTTTTTTTGTTTTTTTTTTTTTTACCTGTAACGCAGCCTTATGTCAGCATTTAAGGGAAGAATAAAGGTAAGTACTCATAATAAGCGAAAATACTATTATTTTATTTAAAGGAAAACAGTTGTGCATGGTTTAAAGTCAAATAAACTATTCTAATTCACCAGTTTTGGACCTTTAATACTAAACAAAGCATGTAATAGGGAAAGAGAATAAAAGGTACCTTATATTTAAAATTTTTGTTTAAGCAAGTATCACAAATTTCTATAAATGTCATAATCTCTCACTTTAATTAAAAGTGATTAGTCCCAATTTTTAACCATCTTTTCATAGTGTCATTACAACGAACTTTGAAAAAGATTCAAAACATCATTGTTACATACCCTAAGTACACACTATTTTTACTTGCCAATTAAGTTTATATCACTTAAAACAAAAGAACATAGTATCATCTGACAATAACTAAGAATAAAGATGGCCTGATAGAAAATCTTCTATTTTAAAATATGATTTCTCTTTAAGCATGAATAATCCATCAATTAAATTTTCCTTATTTTTATTACTGATTTTTTTTCACTTTTTTTCCCATGCATCTTCTATAAATCATTAATATCCAGGCATGACGGAGCACACCTGTAATCCTAGCACCCGGGAGGCTGAGGCAGGTAGACTGCCAGGAGTTCGAGGTCAGCCTCAGCTACACAGTGAGTTCAAGGTCAGTGTGAACTACATAGCAAAACACTGTCTCAAGGAAAAAAAAAAAGTAGAAGTTCTAAATAAACCATAAAAAAAGTTGATTTGTCTGCTTAATACCAAGAGAACAAATTGAAAGCAAATCAGAAGGCATCTTGCAATATACAAGTGTTATTGCCCTCAACCTCTCTCTCCTTTTATTTTCAGATTACTGCAGGAAATAATCACTAAGATAAAAACTGTATTACAGTTAGTTTTAGGCATGTCACATTCAACTCTAGAAATAAATCTAATTTAATATTTTTTATTTTTTAAAATAATTTTTAAAAATTAGTTCAGTTATGATTAGGCAATTTAACAAGCAGTGCACCACAGGAGAGAGCACTGCTTTAGGGCGACTGGCAGTGGCATGTCTAGAACACTTACAAGAGCGTAGATTTATTCAGATTCTCCCCCCCAACACACATACATGTTTAAAGGGGACTGGTGGTTTCCTCAATAAAATTATTAATATTGTTTCAAATTCTAAGGGTCACCTTTAACTTAGTTATGGCCCTAAGAGAGTTTTTTTATACCTGGAAAGAGCATATCTTCCAAAATGTTTTGATCTGAAAGTATAATAAAATTCATACCTTAACATCTGCAAACTACTTTTCACAAAGTGGAGGAATTTATCTGCACTGTGGTGTGATTAAAGCAACTCAAAGGATTTGTTCAAACAAGTGCATAAAATAGAAATTAACTTCTCCCTTAATGTACCTTTTGTTGAATGGTGGAATGTTTTTGTTCCATCTCCCTTTTCTCTTTTGCTGCATCCACAACCAGTCTATCCAACTATAAAGGGGGAAAAAGATGAAACTGTAGACTCACAAATCAAAGAAAAAAAGTAAGATTGCTTTTTCAAACTATATTCCAACACATTACATAGATAAGCACAGCAATAAGTCATTTTGGCTAAACTTTAAAGTAGAAGTTTACTCTCTTTTTTCTGGTATTAAATCCTCCTTGAGAAGGTATCTTCTCTAGAGAAGTTGTAGTTTTTCAGAATAGTGCTGCTGCCAAGCGTGCACAACAACAGGCTCATCCTGGGCACTGCGGGATATCGTGTTCAGCTCTTGAATAAGGAAACGACAAGCAGAAGCTGCCTGCTGGCCCACGCAGCAACTTCTGGTCATTACAATCAAAATTATAAGGAACAGACACTGATGACTGCTCCCCCCACACGCAGAGTGTAGTACAGCTGAGCTAGTGCGGCCAACTCCCACAGGTTCACACTGACAGACACCGTCCATCACTCAAGATGCTTTATGTTTGCAAGCTGGCTTCCTAGTTTACATGCAAACCTAAATGGTAGAAAAATAACTGACCAAATGAAACTGTTTAAAGAAAGAGTAATGATAAAAGAATAGTAATCTTTTACTTTGAGATGCCATTATTTACTCAGTTAAAGAATATCCCAGTGACCACTTCCAATTAGGCCCTATCATCCACTAGGCACTACAAGTCAGTATAGTATATCAGGTATTTTTTTCAAGAGCCTGAAAACTTATTTGACATCTGAAGGATATAAAGCTGAAGTTAGTAAGTGTCTAAAAGTAAATTTTTATTTCCACTTGTTAAATGCAATTTCAATTCATATTGTTTTTCAAAAGTATACTCAATGTAAGATGACAGTGCAATCTAAAGTGGGAAAGGATATAAAAAATGCCAACACCTAAGAAGCTCTTACCTTCCTGAAAGTCTGGGTTAGAGTCCTGTCTCTACATTCCTACAACATCCTGTACCCACAGGATGGTGGGAAAGCCTAGTTGTTCCCAGTATCTATTTTCTCTTTCTTTCATAACAACAGAAGTATGAGATCCTAAAGTCACCTTCTGGCATTAGGGTTTCCTCACAGTAAGTGTGATCTTGACTAAACATCACTGGAACACATACAGAAGCAAGCTGTACAATCTCCAGGAAATGTGCGTAAGGAGAGAGTATGCATCCTTTTCCCTTCCTCCTGCCTATTAGCTGGAATTTGAGAATGATGGCTACAACTTGATTAGCTATTCTAAACCATGAGATAGAATGCATTTAAAGGTAAAATAAGCCTGGGTCCCTGTCCATCAAGTGACTGCAATACCACTTTTTCTTCTACATACAAGAAATAAAATTCTATCTTTTTGAGCTACTAGTATTCTCATTTTTCTACTGCTTACACACAAATCCAATCCAAATGATATACACAGAGCACTTAGCATGGAGATTAAGAGTCTGGTGATTTGTTGGTTTCTTTCAACAAATTAAATTCAACAGAAATAGAAAAACATTTGTATACGTCACAATGTATGTCTTGAACATCATATTTTGCCCACATATCTCACCACACATATCCACACATACATGCTAGTTTCTTTGTTTCTTTGAGACAGGGTCTTGTTATGTAGTTCAGGGGCTAGGCCTGAACTCATATAGCCCAGGCTGGCCTCAAACTCCCAGAGATCCTCCTGCCTCAGCCTCCCAAGTACTGGGACTATAGGCATATGCCACCATGTTCGGCCTCACACATGTACTCTGAACAGTGAATCCAGTTCCCATTCCAATCTTATCTTTCTCTCATTTCCCAAACCAGTATTTTCCATTATTAATACGCTCTTCTCAAAAAGAAAACTACTTCGTGTACAGCCAGGGATGGTACAAGGTTAAGCAGGTATGGTAGTCTATACCTACAATACCAGGGCTCAAGAGGCTGAAGCAGGAGGATCACAGCATGTTTGAAGCCACCTGACTACACAGAGAGTTCAAAGCCAGCCTGATCACAGTGAGACCCTATCTCAAAAAAAGATACAACAGAAAGCAAATTGAACAATTGTGGGAAAGACAACTACCTAAAAACCTACCTCATTAAATTAAGAAAGCTCACTGACAAATAAAAACAATGGCCCCAAGGGCTGTGGGTGTAGCTTAATGGTGGTGTGTTTGCCTGCCACGTACAAGGCCTTTGGTGCAATCTCCAATATCCCCCCACCAAAAAGAGCTCCCAAACATACTAAATATATATGCTTTAGATCAGATATGAAAACACTTCCAACAAAATGAAACTTCCCTAAACATAACTTCCTTGCAGTATGTTTAATTCTAAAACACAAACATCTCAGAAAACACACACATAGAAAGATACCTAAATGTAGTCAGTGTGATGAAAAAGTTCCCATAATCCTAAAATTCTAAAATTTCATTATTAAATAATGTAATTTTTTAAATACAAAGATGTACAACTCAAATGAAAGGCAAACTAAGACAATAACTCAATTATGCAAGTATAAGAAATTTGAAAATAAATTTACTTATACCATAAAAAGACTGTATTTCTATATTCTCCTTTTTATTATCCTTTTTTTAAAAAAATGCATTTGGTACAGGGCCTAGAGGGACTACAGATCTCACTACGTAGATCGGATTCATAGTGATCCTCCTGTTTTCAGCCTCCCAAGCCCCATCTCATTTAACCCACACATGCTGCAACATCAAACTTCTTTGGTGTAAATGAAATGTCAAATCCCCCAATATGCTACATTTCTTTAAAACTACGAATATCAATGCATAATAGAATCAAAAAAAACAACATTACCTGTGCTCCAAGATCTTTCATGTAAGGCCCAAGCTCACTAAACAGATCATAGCCTTGATGAAAGAAGGCCAAATGGGCATACATAAAGGATAACATCTAGAAGGGAAAATAAAGATTGTCATTTTAAAATCCAATCCTAGATAAACAATTGGAAGTATTTTAAAGACCTAATCCTATTTAATGTTTAATATTATTTCCCAAGAGCCCACAATATCTGACCTATTTAAAATTAAACTGCATCATTTTTCTTAAAACATTTCATAAATATTTGCAAAAGCAATGAGAATTTTGTTTAAAAGAGATTTCTCAACAGTTGGTGATTTTAACATGTCCCAACTTTGTACTTGTTTAGGTTATAAGCTATTCAAATAACAAAATTTTCAAGTCTATCTTCTGAGATACATTATTAATTATGTGCTCCTTGAACTAAGCTCACTCATAAACCTTAAGAAAATAAGATATAAAAAATAAAGAGGAAACAAAACTCCAAAATAAAACAAACACAAACACACTTCACAACCTACTACTTCACCAGCCAAAGTTAAACTAACAAAATGCTCCAGCTGTTTCTGAAAATGACAAAATAGAGTCAAAAGACTGCCAATTTGGAGATTTCTTTATATTCATTCCACAAGTCGAAAAATGGCATCAAGGAATGCTTTTGCCAAGATTTTTCTGTATTTTACTTACTCATAAGAGAAAACTCACCCTTATTTTTATTAAAGTTTTTACATAGTAAGGAATTACTTAAATATATAGTATTGCAAGAATCATCTGACCTCCATGTTTTTAGTAAAACGTATTTAATGCTCTGAAATAAAAAATTAGTCATGAGGTCCTTAGTACTCAAGAATCCTCCAAACAAAAATTTGCTTCCAGGAGACAAGACAACTAAATAAAATCCAAAAATGAAAGGACAAAACTCACAAGAGGAAACTTTGATAAGGATTTGTGAATATAATTTTTTTAAAAAAATCACTAAATTGCAACACAAAAAAGAAATGGGGGGAGGGAAGGAATAGGGCTACATTAAATGTAAAACATTCCTGTATACCAAAACATATTATAGGCATATAAAATGATAAATGATACATTAGGAAAAAAATGGATGACAAAGATTTAAAATCTTACTATGTGGGCCACATTACAAATCACGTGAAAAATAAACCCTCCGACAGAGTAAGAGACACAAGGACATATATGAAGTACAGGAGTGACCAAAAAAGGATTCAAACTAATTTGTACTAATAAAATGCAAAACTAAATGATGAGATCACAATTTCTATCTATCAATGGGGTAGAGGGAGGGGAACTGTAATGCTCACTGTTCATAAAATGTGCAGAAGTATTCATTTATATACACTATTAGTGAAAATATGATGTAATCTTCGAAATTTGACAGTATTTTAAAAGGCCTCAGGGCTGAAGAGATAGCTCAGTGGAATAAGTGCTTGCCTGGCAAGTTCTGAGTTCAATGTCTAGTACCACAAAAAAAAAAAAAAAAAAAAAAAAAGGCCTCATTCACTATTTAAACCCACTAGGTAGTCCCTTGTCTGTAAATGCATCCTAAGACAACAATCAGATTATTCATTAGAATTAATCCTACACTGCTAAGTGTTAATGTCAAAAATATGGAAATTACTTAAACATTCACTAATTGATGAAGATAATTTGTGGTATATTCAAGATCAGTAAACTATGACTTGTAAACTGTATCTGTTTTTAGATGGCCAATGAGGTAAGAACAGTTTTTACATTTTTAAATAATTGAAAGAAAATGACAAGGGCACATGAAATTCATGATATGAGAACACTTTATGAAATTAGAATTTCTGTGACTATAAATAAAGTTTTATTGGAACACAGCCATGACCATTCATTTGCCTATTAACTATGTCTGCTTTCTCATTTCAAAGGGACAGCTAAATTAAGTGCAACAGAGCCCATGTGGTCTGAAAAACCCATATATGTACAAAATGTTTATTTATCCCTTGTACATTCATATGAGAATTCTACTGCCCATAAAGCCATCATTAAATATCACTGTCAACACATTGCTATCAATCTAGAAAACAAAATGGAGAAAAATACCATTTTTAAAAAAAAGAGCAAATACAATGTCTAACACAAATATGAACATAAAATTTAGCAAAAAGCTAGGTGGGAAAAAGGATCTAAAGCCATTTAAATATACCCTTCATGGGAAAAAAGTTAACTTCTGCAAATAAACTCAGAGGAGAAATAATTTTGAGCACTCTCAGGAAGACTGCAACACCACATCAAACGCTCTCCCTGCTCACTTTCCTGTTAGCTTCAAGACCCAACAAACAAAAATGAAAGCGAACACTAGGTAAAGAAAAAATATGTATCATTGTCACCAGGATAAAAGGCTCAGGAAAAAATAACAGCAATCCTAAAATTACACCCGCTGGTTTTGGAACTGCACATCAAGGAGCAAACACATTATCAACCTTAGGGGTAAATTTGCCAAATGACCTGCTCCTCTAAGTCCTCAATCTTAAATCCAGTACTGTAAAAATCTAGAGGAATATAGATATATAGATATAAATACAGGTATATAGATACATATGTACAGATATATAGATATATAAAGGTTGCATAGAAAATTTATAAGAGCAACTACAAATGAAAGAAAGCTCAAAATCTAAATGTGATAGGATTATACTTTTATAAATTTCAAAACAAATTGTAAACTATACTTAAAATTCTGGGGGCCGAGGAGATGGCTCAGTGGAATAAGCGCTTCCCTGGCAAGTGCAAGGGCCTGAATTCAATCCCCAGTTCCGCCAAAAAAAAAAATTTTTTTTTTACAGCAGCCACTTCCAGTTACTCATCACAGTCCTGGGCATCTAGTGTAAAGGATCATATTAGGATGAAATAAAAACAGAACAGCACCAAAACTGTCTCTATAGAGCTACAAGTATGTATGTTAAGATAAAATACACATGAAGAACTGTAACATGATGAAGACATGATATAAAACATTACTTTGATAAGTACAAATAAAGATAAAAAGGCATAGCAATTACGAAGCCTGGAATACATATCTAGTAGATGTTTCTATAAATACTTAAATATGTAGTTAGTTTCATATTAAAATATCTAAGAACATCACTTCAATTAGTATCTTACTGATTTTAGGATTTCTGATCTCCTTTTTGATTGAAGAACATTAATCTGCAGAAAAATACAATTGATTAATCACCTATGCATCATTTTTAAAACTAATCCATAGTATAATATGGCAAAATTTGCGTATTCTAATGGTTCAATTCTTTTCTAAAACTGAAATAAAAACAAAACTCACGTCTTTCGTCCTTTGACCCTTATTTTGCAAAAACAGTTAATATAAATGTACCAATGAAATTGAGCCATTTTGTAGCTCGGTGAAAAATCAGCCACCTAAACTAAAAGTGTTGCAATTGAACTACTCTGACTTCCATCTTTTCCCCACCCTCCTATTCTACATGCTCATTAAGGTTCAATATAAGGCCTTGGAGCTAACACAAATTCTCATCACATCTTTTCTGGACTGTGCAGTAGTCTACAAACTACTCTCTTATATCCATTCCCAGCACCCTGAGCTCCATTCTCACATAGGCACTATTATTTCTGATTTAAAACTCCTTCACTTCCCACCATGTAGAGTAAGCCTGTTGTGATGAGGTCCCATGTCTCCCCAACCTAGTTTTCTATTATTTTCCAACTTTCTGCACTACAACCATAGGCTAAGACAGTCCCCATATCAAAGCCTTTGTCCCAGCTTTTCTGTCTTCATGGAAGGATAGCTGCCTTCAAGAGTATGAAGCTGAGCCGGGGAGATGGCTCAGTAGAATAAGCGCTTTCCTGGCAAGCGCAAGGGCCTGAGTTCAATCCCCAATGTTGCCAAAAAAATAACTCTGGGGACCTGCCCATTAGCTCAGGTGTGTAAGTGACTGCTGAAACAAAGCAGTCAGGCTCAGGATGCTGTGGTTCAATCCCCTCATCCTCAAGCCAAACCAGACCTGCCCTAAAGGCATCCTGAGCACCTCCCCCCCCCAAAAAAAAAAGAGTATGAGGCTGTCAAGGCAGCCTGACAGCTCAGCGAACTACAGCACCTGTTTAGGCCAGTGTTCAATTCCCTGGGGGTTCCCTGAGACGGTGACTGAGACTGGGCATGCTGGCACATGCCTATAATCCCACAGCCTGGGTGGCTGAAAACAGGAGAATCACTAGGAGTCCAATCTACATAGTGAAACCTTATACACCTTGTAGATCTAGTACTAAATACAGGGGGAATAAAAGGTGTGAGGCTGTCTCTGACCAATCAGGTTTCAAGTACCATTTCCTTACCAAAGTATAATGTAGTTCCCCGTACACTAGTTAGTACATAAACCCTATTTATTCAACCTCATATTTTTTTATGGTCTTTCCCCAAGCTAAAGTATAATTTCCATGAGATCAGAGCCTTTGCCTTATTCTCAGCTTTAGTCCTCATGCAGTACATAGTAAGCATTCAATGCATATTTACTACAGTAATGAATCTTACATATTTTAATTAGACTAAACTTAATGAGAGATCAGTAAATTAAAAGATTTGCTTTTTGGGATCTCTGGGTTCCTCCAACTCTAGAAATTCATAATAAACTTTTTTTCTATTATTAAATACTACCTTAATAAAATAAAATACCACCTTAATAAAATAAAGTGTTATCTAGTATTTTCAAAAGATTACAGAATATTTTTATATGTCTTTCCCAATGAATTCTCTACTTTTTAAGATAATTTAAAGCACTGACTAGAAAACAAAAGCAGACCAAGAAACAGTTAATAACTTTTCTTACCAACTAAGCATTAGTTGCTTCTACATGTCTGTCTCAAGATATTGGTGGGTCACAAAATAAAAAAAATATTGTTGGGTGAGGAAGCTAACCTAGAACTGTCAGATGGACACCAAAAGAAGTGGGTAATTTATCAGGTGTAAGTCTGAAAATAATATTATAGCTGAACACCCTTGTATGTAAAATTCATAACATTTAAAATATTCACTCTTTCAGAAAACATTTCTTACATATATTTTTTCCAATCATTAAACTATAAGATAGGGAAACATTATGGCAACAGAGATAAACAGGCAAGAATGGTTCATTCTGCCTGAAAAAGACATGAGCCACCTTGACCACAGGCCAGAATGTGAATCTGAGATAGGCAGGAAAAGCACTGCAAAAACGGCCATGCATATGGGATTAGCCTACTAGTATTCTGGGCGAGAAGCAATTGAGACTGGTTCAGGACAGCAGCAAAGGGAAAGAAAATACACATTTATGAAGTACAGAAGAGGAATTTCCAAGATGTTTTTGGCAGCCATCTCCCATTTTGAACTTCTATGAGAGTAAGCAAGCAATATCACAGTTAGAAAAGACCAAGAGAGGCAGCAAAGCCATTCTGGAAGTTGCAGGTTTCAGTTTTAAATACAGCACGTGGCACTACAGTGAATAATAGATTTTTGTCATTTATATACAGGTAGCAATTAAAGCACGGGCCATGATGAGACTGTCAGAGAGTAATAAAGAACAGAACCAAAGATAAAACACTTAAAAGGAGAGTAAAAAGGCAGACAGACAAAGGGAAAAGTTCAAGGCAGAAACTGAAAAGAAACAGGAAGACCCTAAAGTGAGTTTCAGAAAAGTAAGATTAAAAATGTATTTCAAGACAGAGCGTGTGGGGCCAGGGAGATAGCTCAATAGAATAAGCATTCCCCTGGTAAGCGCAGTGAGTTCAATCCCTGGTTCTGCCAAAAAAATAAAAATTAAAAAAAAAAAAAAAAAAAAAGACGGAGTGTGTGATCCACCACCTCAGTGAATGAGAACAGTCACATGGGTTCAAACCTGCAGTACGAGCCATGAAGAAGCTCCATACAGAGCTGCGCCAGCGAAGGGCGCTGGGAAGGCTGAGCACTGGTCTGCAGGAAGAAGGAACATGGACAGCAGGCAGAGCACAAGGCAGACTCCTCCATTCCAGAAGGCTTTCATCCAGGAAAGGAGCAAACTGCATTTTGAACAATTTCACTTCCCACATGAACTCAGGAAAAACAAAGTGCATTTTCTACTGCTTTTACAGTTACCTCAGTCATTTTTAACACTGATTTTATATCTCATGTTTTAAAAAAAAACTTCTGATTATGAATATTATTATGACTGCAAAGTCAAAGATCTCTGCGAACACTGCTGTTTGTAACATGAGATCTAGACAAGCTAATTCCCTAAGTTTTAACGATCTCAAGATTTGAACCTCAAGATATATAGACAAATATGGCAGATCTCGGAAATAACATATTATGTCGTCATTTTTCATGCATTTTGAGTTCCTTTGAAGACCTATCACATTCAAACTACACTCAATTATTATCTGGACAAGAAGATCAACAAAGCTATATCTCTGGCTTTTTCTTTTGTTTTTTGAGGAACTAGGGGTAGAGCAAAAAGCCTTGCACATGATTGACAACTGCTCTTGTCACTGAGCTACAACCCTCAAGCCTGCATCTCTAGCTTTGAAAATGCACACCTAATAAAAAAAAAAGACACTATTCTAGAAATATTTTTCACTGAGGCATACCATAATAAGTCCTGATATCACTAAGAATCTACTCTAAAGAAATAAGAAGCAATGTGGCAAAAATGCATATATAAGGACATAACACAATTATTTAAAGTTATACTTTTACTATTTCCAGTAAAAGCTGGCAACACCCTAAAAGTCTGACAGTCAAATATCAACTGGGATCTACATAAAATATGTATGGCCATTTTCAAGAGGCTTTTTAAAAACATTCAAAAATGGGACAAATTTTAATTACGTGAAAAGAAGAAATCTAAACTAAAGGCACATACATCCACATACTATGTGCACACACAAAAGCATACAGATGAGTGATATTGTTCCAGAAAAGAGATTTTAACTTTAAAACCAACATACTATTATTTTCAGTACAATCACTCAGAAGTAGCACCCTATCTAGCACTGTTTGAAAACACAAAAAAGTAACTACCTGAAGTACATAGTCAAGGGCTATGTGTCGAAAACATTTTCTTGTTGCTGTCAGAATATTTGTGGCTTCTTCAACTTCGTGCTGTTTGTTTCTTTGAACTTGGGCATTTTTTACTAATGCATTTTCTTTTTCTTCACTGACTTTTTCAAATTGCTTCTTGGCATCTTTGAATTTTCTAAGATCTCTAAAAAACAAAAACTTAGTGAAGCTTCCTTTCATGAAATTTTCTTGTTCAAAAACTCTGGCAAAGTAATTTTAGAACTTAATTCTTATGATCCTCCATTTGCTTCATCATGCACTGACATTCCCAAGCTCTTCCAACTAAATTATATACTCTTCTCCAGCTACAGGTTGAACACCCTTAAACTGAAATGCTTGGAACCATAATGAGGTTTAGATTTCAGAGCTTTCTGAATTTGAGAATATTTATACGAATTTTCCCACCTGAGCACTCCCAATTCAAAAAACCAAGCTTGGTGATCAAAAGATTTCAGATTTTGCAGTTCAATTCCTGGCGCCACAAGTCGTGCTAGCCCCGCCCTCAGGGTAGGCTGAGCCGGCCACAAAAAAAGAAGAAAGATTTCAGATTTTGGACTCAGAGTATTTCAATTTCAGATTCAGGGCTAGGGATGCTTATCATTTTAACTGATGGAACATGAAGTGAAAATAAATTATCAAATTAACAGAAAGATAGTTAATTAAAAAAATAATAATTCCAGGACATATACCATTATTTAACCAAATGATGTTTGAATAGTAGCACACAAAAGAACCATCACAGGACATCTGTATCAAATACAAAATCCCAGGCCCTTTCTAAAAGATTATAATTCATTAGTCTTTGGGATAAATCTTAAAAATTTAAGGATCTACTTTTTGTAAAAACGCACCCTTGATTTTACAATTATATAGTCTAAGACTTTTTTATAAATAGATTTTAACACACACACACACACACACACACACACTTGTGCCATGTACCAACATACACATGTCAATTTCTAAAAAGAATACTACCAATAAAGGCCAACAGGATCCCCACAACGGTCTCCTCCCAGTCCCCCTGTACCAGTGACCGGGCTATGGCAGCTGCTGTGGACACACAGGTGCCATGCATAAATCACAGGATTGCTTTGGCCCACTGTATCCACTGGAGTGCTGTACCTGAACAACAGCCTCCAGCAACCACAGGGCAGAATGGTCTTGAATAGTGAAACCTTTGAGTTACTAATGACCTTAGGTTTAATTACATAGCATTTCTTTACTTTTACTATTACGAAACTATGTAAAGTAATCTGGATAAAAATTATTTTTAATCAAATAAACATAAGAAAGATTTTAACTGAGAACTGCCATACATTTTTTTATATACATTCTATGAGGACATGCTGAGTGTCAGTCTACTAAAGAGTAACTTACCAAAAATTTAAAAAATAAAAAAAAAAAAAAAAAAAAAAAAACAACTTTGCAACATTTCCACAATAAATTCTAACTTACTGAAATACCAGTACTTTATACGAAGGAGTTGTTGTGCTATTTATAATTTATAATCTCTATGATTTACACTAAACATTATATCATAAACAATTTTATCTATAATTTTATATAGCTTAGTAAAAACATTAAAAGAAAACTGAACTATTAATGTGAAAAAGGGAAACTTTTCTAACTTTCTAAAAATTCATATTTTGTGTCCAGATCAATTTTATTTTACATATGAAGTATAATTAATCTGACACAAAAGTTTCACATGTAACAAAAAGTATGTACTTCTATAAATCATTCGAATTCTCATACTGAGGGAGAAGTCTTCAACCACAACCACTAATGGTATTTCAACTGTTATTTCATGATCTATAATTTCTCTCAAAAAAGGTCACTTTCCAGATGTGATCATTAACTAGTTGCTTTTCTTTCACTTTCACTGCAGTTGATTTATTCTTTTTCATTTTACAAAAGAAACATTTCCATAACCAAATAACGAGAACAACAATTGTTACAACACTGTGTAGCTATCGTCAAGTAGTTAATACAGTACATAAACCAAAAAGACTCTTACTCTTTAACAAAGTTCTGAAGCTGTGCTTTAATTGATCTCTGAGTTTGGTCAAACAGGATCTAAAATATAAAATGTAACAATGAGTGATTAGTAAACAAAGAAAAACATTTTTCATATATTTCTATAAATACCACATCCCTTCATCAATACTCCAGTTCTCATAACAACCATATTTCTTATTGAACACTAGAAAAAAATATTTTAAAAAGAACCTGAAACCAATTTTAAACATATTTCATCGGTCTCAAAAACAAAGTTGCTTCTATTCACAGAAAATGAATGCTTTAATATTTAAACAGACTGATGAAACACTAACACAACCTACTTCCCTAATTTTAATTTAAGCCACAAATTCCACTCCATTTAATGCAGATGTGTCTCACTCCAATAGATTAAAGCACCCCAAGTGAAAACCACCCATAATGCCTGATAGCTTAAGGATAAGTTTCTAATTTGAGAAATCTTGGGACTTAACACATTGAATATTCTACCTTCTTTTAAGTTAAATGATAACTAAGATTAGAAACCAGAATAAGGGGCTGGGGAGATGGCTAAGTGGAATAAGCGCTTCCCTGGCAAGTGCAAGGCTGTGAATTCAATCCCCGGTTCTGCCAAAAAAAAAAAAAAAAAGAAACCAGAATAAAATCTTGTCCCTCAGGATGATACCTTGCTCCACTTACAAGATGTCCTATACTTAACACTGATGGCTTTATGTAAGGCCAGTTTCACAGGACTCATCAGCAGAATCCCAAGTACTATCATAATTTACAAGTTAATAGAATTATTCACTTTCAAATACTCCCTACTCATTCTGAGTAGCTGTCCACCCTCTCCACCCTTCTTCTCACCTTCAAATAAGTTGTCTTTTATTTATTTTTTTAAAGGTACTTCAGAGTTTGAAACAGTGAGATAAATGAGAACAAAAATCAATAAACAAGAAAGCCTTCTTCTTAATGAATAGAATGATTTGTTCTAATGGTGTTTGTAAATAGGATCACAAGTCCGCATCTTGTACAGCAATTAACCACTAAGAAGAATATATGCAGTGTATTATTTGTTGAAAAATAAAAAAAATAAAAAAATAAAATAAAAAAAATAAAAGAAAGCCTTCTTAAAGTCTTCTAATTAAAAACAGCAGCATGCTGGGCATGGTAATGCACGCCTGTAATTCCAGCCACTTGAGAGACAGAGACAGAAAGATGGGAAGTTTGAGCCCCTAGCCTGGGCAACTTAACGAGACATTGTCTCAAAATAAACAGAAAGATCTGGGATGTAGCTCAGTGCTAAATTATTTGCCTAGCATCCATGACTTGCTGAGTTCAATCACAAGGAGAAGGGAAGGAAAAAGAATTTGATCACTTTAGTAGAATAAAAGAAATACAATCTATACTTTAAAACTCCTACACTACACAAAGTAAAAGCTACATTAGCAATCCCACTCTCAGGTGTTTGTACAAAGGAGAAAAAAAGTTGGGTTCATATAAGCACCTGTAGGCAAATGTTTATACCAGTTTTATTCTCAATTCCCCCAAATGGAAACAAAACAAATATCTTTGAATCAGAGAATGGAGAAGCAAAATATGGTACAATCTGACAGTGGACTACTCACTAAAAAAGAAAGGGACATTAAGAGCTACCACAGGGATGCATCTAAGTGCATATTGCTAAGTAAAATAACTCACATCCAAAAAGTGACAAGCTATACAAGTTGTCTGACATTTAGGAAAAGGCAAACCAATAAAAATAGAAAACAAGCCAGCAATTTCCAGTGGCAACAGAAAGAGTAGAATAACGGGGCAAAGAAGGGCACTATGAAAGTATCCCGGGAGGTGACACAACAGCTGAGCATTTCATTGTGGAAACGTCCAACATACATATTTGTCAAAACCTATAAAGTTACACACCACAAGAAATCAACTTTGTTACACTTAAACTTAAAAATAATTTCAAAATATTAAGAAAAAGTATAAATAAGAAACACCACATTTGTTTTAATGAGTGAAGAAAAAAACATGATTGCCTTAGTTGATTGAACGAACGGCTACAGAAATATAAGCCAAGGCATAATTGTACAGGCCTGTAATGCCAGTACCCTAGAAGGCTAAGGAAGGAGGATCACAAGTTCAAGCCGAGGCTGGACAAATTTGCAATACTGTATCTAAAAATGAAAAAAAAAAAAAACCTTAAATGCCTAAGGATGTAACTTAGTATGAAGGCCCTGAATTTTATAACCAGTGTAGGAGAGGGGGAACTTGGAGGGCAAAGAGGAGGAGAAGGAGGAAAGGAGAAAAGAGAATGAGGGAAGAAATGGAGGAGGATGGGAGAAGGAGGGAAGGAAATATAAAACCCATCATTGAGGAACACCTATGCTTCTCAGAAACACTATGCCAACATGTATGAAAACTGACTACACTACAGGGCATAAAGCAGAGGTATGGTATCATGTAGAACATACTCACTGAGCTCAATGACACTGTCACACTGCACAACTTTTGTTTTGGTGACTGTTGTTCTGTTGTTGCAATGTGGTAGTGGTAGTGCTGGAGATGGAACCAGGGCCTTGCATATGCAGGGCAAGTGCTCCACCACTGAGCTACACCCCAGGACACTACACAGTACTAAGAAAAGAGAGCAACTGATAGATGATCTCAAAAATTTTATTCCAAGTGAAAGAAGTCAGTCTCCCCTCCCTTCTCACATACACGGGCACACACATGTATACACAATAATATGTGATTCTATTTATATGAAATTACACAAAAAGTAAAATTAGTTTATGGAAGATAATTACATCAGTAAGTTCAACACTGCACCAGAAATTCTAGCAATGCTACAATCAGTAAAATATGAAGTACACATACTAAAAATATAATTTTGTCTGTCTATAGATGAAATAATCAAGTAGACAGCACTACAGAATTTACAAAAAAAAAATCTACTAGAACTAGTGAGTTTAGCAAAGCTGAAGAAACAAAAGCAATGTGCAAAAATCATCTGTGTCTGTATATACTGGCATTAACCTATTGAATACTGGGCTTTAAAATTCCAATGACAGCACCACAAAGAGGAAATGCTTAGGAAGAAATCTATTCCAAGGAAAAGAATAGTATTTTCCTGTGTATTATCACTTTTAAACTTAAAAATATTACCATCTACATCCTCCAAAATACAGCATTATCAAAATACATTTTATAGCCAGGCATACTGGTACAAATCTGTAACCCCAGTACGCATGAGGATGAAGCAAGAGGATCACTGAGACTGACGCCAGCCTGGGCAAGACAGTGAGGTCAAGACCAGTCTTAACTACATAGCAAGGACCTGTCTCCAAAAAAACCTAAATAAATAAAATACACATGAACAGAATGAGAAGCATTTCAAGACACTGATATATTTATTAAGGAACAGATATAATACATATATACAGACAGACAGACAGAATATGTGTGCCCCAGCCAGACAGGGCCTTGCTATGTTTCCCAGGCTGGTCTCAAACTGATTCTCCCACCTCAACCTATCAAGTAGCTGGCACTAGAGATATATGCCACCATGCCCAGCTATAGCCTATATAGACAGATGAATAGATGTGTGTTTCATAATATTTTATATATTATATATTATAAGTATATTATATAATTTATATATACAAATCTATTTTTTATATGGGAGGAACAGGTTCTTACTATGTAGTTCAGGCTGGCCTTGAACTCACAAGAATCCTCCTGCCTCAGCATCCTGAGTGCTGAGATTAAAGAGGTGCACCACCACACCCAGGTCTTAGTCTGTATCTTCAATACAGTAAAAGTACATGATAAATGCAAAGGAAACTGTGTGAAATTCTATCCGCTACTTGCCAATTTCAAGCCACCCAGCTACTTAACAGGTCTTTATTTTTCTGTACTGAACTGCTGCACACAACTGCCTCAATTAATCAGCTACTACCTCAACACAATTCCTAAGTTGCTATACCTTGCTAAGAAAGAATTCAGTGTTTCTTTTTATATGCTACAAATAAACAGGTACAACAGCTACGAAGAGAAAAGCGAAAGTTAACTTCCACTTCTAAAGATTAATAGTATTACTCCTTGCAAGACATGTATGAAAAAATCAACAAGATGTCATTTGACCCAAGATGTCATTGACTTCTAATTATAAAAGGACCTTATTAAAGTGGACAGAGGGGCTGGTGCGATGGCTCAGTGGTCCAAGCACCTACTTAGAACAAGCTTAGCAAAGCACAGGGACCCCGGTTCAATCCCCCAGCACCACATGCCAGCCAGCCCCGCCCCCTGGTGGGCTGAGCTGGCCACACACACACACACACACACACACACACACACACACAAATTTTTTTTAAAAAATAAAAATAAAGTGGACAGAATAATACCTGACTCACACAGCTCACACTCAACTTATTCTCCACTTTTATCTGGACCCAGTTGGCACAACACTATCTCTGTTGTGTTCAGCAAAGGGTGCAAATCTGGAATGTACTCTGCAGGGCGCAGACAACCCAATCCAGGAAGTTCAGTAGAAAAAGAAGCCAAGATCCAAGCATAACATTAACCCTGCTTGTACTCAGCATTTATTCAGATGTTACTGGTCTAAACTTTGTAGATTTAAGTATTTGGGGCTGATTTAAATATTATCCAGCTAAGGGCCAGCCAAATAGCTCAGCAGAATAAAGCATCTGCAAGCAGGTACGGGGCCAGGGGTTCGATCCCGGGGTGCACTGTGCTGCTCCCGTCCCCGGGGTGTGCTATGACAACAATTGAGACTGGGTGGGATGGCATGCACCTGTAATCCCAGCACTTGGGAGGCTGTAATCAGGAGTCCAATCCAGGAGTAAGATCCTGAACACCCTGTAGACCCTTCCCTAAAAATACAATAAATAAATAAATATTATTTGGCCAGAATGGCGCTCATCTGATGGTTCCACATGACCTACTTACTCCTGCCTCTTACTCCTGCCTTTCCTACAGAAAGTTGCAGGCTGTGGCTTTTGCCCCCGGGGACTCACTGCCTTCTTGAGTTAATCTCACTAAGTCTATACTGAGGA